AGAATGGCCTCAATTTATTTAGCAGTGGGACATGCCTTAATAGCTTAATACTAGAGTTGAGTGAACCCGAACTGAAAAGTTCGGGTTTGTACTGAACAATAGGTTTTTTGGACCCCGGACCCGAACACAGACATATCACTGTATGTTCGAGTTGGAGTTCGGTGTTCGGCAATTTAATGGCGCGTTTTCAAAGGCTGTAGGGCAGCCAATCAACAAGCGTTTGACTCGTGTGCCCTTAGAAGCCATCACAGCCATGCCTACTAATGGCATGGCTGTGATTGGCCAGTGCATCATGTGACCCAGCCTCTATATATAAGCTGGAGTCGCATAGTGCAGCACGCACATGCGGTCTTATTAGTGTAGGGAGAGGATGCTGACGCTAATAGGGACAGCTTAGGAAAGAATTCTGCAAACTAGTACATTGGTGGGGTAAGGTGCACTTCATATCTGAGAGTCAAATAGAAGCTTCAAATACCACGGTTACATCGGAGTTTTAAAAAGTAAATTTTTTTGGGTGCGGAATAGTACATTAGTGGGGTAGTACATTAGTGGGGCGCACTTCATATCTGAGAGTCAAATAAAATCGTCAAATACTGCGGTCACATTGCAGTTTTAAAACTTAAAATCTTTTGGGTGCTAAAAAGTACATTAGTGGGGTGCACTTCATATCTGAGAGTCAAATAGAAGCGTCTAATAGTGCGCTTACTGCGCAGTGGTAAACATTCTAATTGTTTTGCTGCTAAACTGCTAAATAGTAAATTTTGTGGCCTGTTCTTCATATCTGAGAGTCAAATCGCGTCTATTTTAATTAGAAATTATTAAGGTGTTGTCACCCTGCTGCTGCTCGCCTGTCTGCGCTGCAGCATAACTTCGGCCTTCCCACTCAACGCCTCATGAGACTTTGCGAGCAGCAGCAGGCTATAGTGGAGTTTCAGCTGCAGCACGCACAGGTCAGTGGCTCTGCACCAGACTTCCCTCCAATTGATCAGAGTTAAAGGATTTCAAGTGGACTCATTACAATTACAGGGCCTCTAAAGAGTCCTATATTGTTATTTGTCGTCACTAACTTCCCGCGTCTGGAGTGGGTCATTTGCGCGCCTGCTGCCTTCCTTGCATGTGGTAGCCATTTCTCAGGGTCCCTGTACTGAATGGAACCCTGATTCCCCATTACCAATGGTCATCATGGTAGGCGCAGAAACTAGCATCGAAAGTTGATATGGATGACATCCGCATGCAAAGTCGCCGCCACGGGATGTGCGATTTGCCCAAGGTTCTCTAGAGTCAACAAAGTTCCTGCGCAGCTATAATGTCAACAGATACTCTGCGGAACAGAGTTGTATTTTTTCATGTCCCAATATTTTGTGGGCTACCATAATTAAAACATATATATATATATATATATATATATATATATATATGTATAGATATATATAGATATCTCTCTCTCTCTCTCTGTATATATATATATATATATATATAAAAACAGTGTTGGCTACCTCATCCTCCTCCTCCACCGCCACGGTCACCGCCTCCTCAACCTATGGGTCACTTAGTATAAACTAGGTACACATTAGCAGAGGCTTGTGAATGCATTTTCTCCATGCATCAGGACTGCAAGAAATGCACCGCAGACCGCAAATGTTTCTTTTGTTGTATGTCCCAATATTTTGTGGGCTACCACACTTTAAAAAAAAATCAAAGGGGGGCGTGACTAACCGCCGTGAGGAATGGACGCTTGAACCCTTTGCTCCGGCAGATCGAGTTGACAATCCAGCGCAATCCTGACACATAGAATGGCACACCAATTGGAAAACCCCCGAGATGGCACACCACAGGGGCAAGAAAGCCACCCCTAAACCGGATAAACTTAATTTTTTTGGTAACAAACCGCATCTCGAACAGGAAGAACAGGCCTTCCCCAAGATGGCTTTGGCTCCGGTGAACCTGCCTATGCGGCTGCTACAACAGACCCAGACGCAGATAAGCTAACCAGGTCTCATTTTCAGCAAGCCCTGGACTCTCTGTCCAATAAATTAATTACCTCCTGGCAACATAAGGTGGATTCGCTCAGGAAGGATATTCAAGAGCTAAGCAAACGTACCTCCCATGTGGAGAACAAACTATCAGAGTTCGCCACTGCACGTAATGATTTAGCCTCACATGTTGAATCTGTGGAACACAAAATTCTACTGATGAAACACAAAATTACAGATTTGGAGGACCGAGTACGCAGAAATAATCTGCGCATCCGGGACATTCCAGAGGACATCGCACCAGAAAATCTACAGGCACACATTAGAGGCATATTCCAAGCACTAGCTACGGACATACCGTCTGACATGCTACTCTTAGATAGTGTGCACCGCCTACCCAGACGAAGGTTCCTGCCGGAGACTGCTCCGAGACATGTATTATTGTGTATGCATTACCACATTAAAGATCTTCTTCTTAAAACGTGCAAACGCAGATCGACACTGATCTCTGCAGCTACCCTTGGCAGGAGGAAGGAATTTACCCAAGTTATTAATACTCTGCGAGCCCACGGTCTCCGCTTTCGTTGGGGCTTCCCTACCAAAATTATTGTGACTAAGGACAATACCACCCAAGTGATAACGTCGCCAGAAGACGGTCTTCGTAAGTTGCAAGCCTGGGGGTTCCTGGAGCAAGATGTGGAACAAACCACGCCGCCTTCGAAAAGGATCCAATTGGATTGGCACAAAGTGTAACCCACATGTATAGATGGCAGAACTGCAGGTACTACTAAAATACTAAAATTTTGAATGTGAAAAAGAAGAAAAAACAAACAAAAAAAACCCCTTTTTTTTATAAGAGTGGGCCACTAACTAGCAGTCAATTGAAATACACTAATGTTCTCTTAAAGTCTTAGTTGATGGGACACAGCTTTGTTAAGTCTTAGAACATTTTCTTTTGTTTTTTTTTGTTTATTTTTTGTGTTACATTATAATTTTTGTTAGCTCTGTTGTTTGAAACGAAGCAACAGGAAATGCTGCTGTTAGCTAAACGCTACTGATAAATAAGCACTAGAGACGAATGCCTGCGCCTCTCATATGAGCATATGCTTCTCTCCACGAGTGGAAATTATTACTCACAATATTCCAGATGGGGTAAGCAGTGAGGGGCTAGACCTACCCTTTTTCAGATTACCAATCATTGAATGTAAGGGCACAGCCTTTAGTAGTCCCTAGATCTACATACTTGGATCTTGAGAAGCTGACCCCACATAAAACCCTCATCTCCTTACAGATGCATATGCCTCGGTTTAATTAGTGTATAAAAAAAAAAAAAAGAAAAGAAAAAAAGCTAAATATAGATAAGTTGTTATAGCAAATTCCCTTACAAAACACAAGCTGGATCAATAATATGCCCTGAAATGTTTAGTCTACGTGCATAATTATGGTTGACTTTTCGCTATTGAACATTATAGTACTATTTGTGGCCCCCCGCCTTGGGCCCTTACGGGAGGGGGAAGGGAGTGGTTTTGTTTTGTAATTTCCATGTCAATATTAATTATACCTTGGTGGTGCAGACTGTGCGTGCCCTATGTTTATGAGTACCTTTGTAACAATGGGGATATATAACCTACAATTTACATATTACTGCGATTACGCGGGGACACTTCCAAGGCTCTTGGGGGACAGCAACTATCCAAACGGGAGATCCACTTTCTGTCAGCGCCTGATTTGCATTACTCTTTAGTTCTTTAGTAACGATGAAAGTAACAGCTGATATGCTTGACCCAATGCTCTGGACAGAATACCAAGCCATAGGCTTATACATACCCGCTAATCTTCCACGCTTACAAGACGAGAGGAAGACATTCACAGAACTAATATGGTAATTTATAGGGGTGCAGATTACCTTAACATCTGCAATCTTGGGCACGCACAGCTCTGTCCGCCTGTTGCTGGAATCTGTATTGTGTAAAGGGACATATAACCTAAGTGTATGCACAACTACTACTCCCTTCCTTGTTTAGAAAGATACGAATGAGGAACTTCAGTATAAAAATTATAAGATGCTCTCATTACATTTTACATAGCTGTGCCGTCATATTGATTAGCAACAATGGTAGACCCAAAGCCATGTCAAGGAAACATGAATGTCTCCTTCCCCCACGGTACTACCTATAGGTACCAAACTACACTTCTGTATAGACTTTCTTTTACTTTACCCCGGTTCTTTTTACCCTATAAACCCATCCCCGGCCATGGAGGGCCATTACTATTTATCCTACCACTCAGGCTCCTTTTGTACATAACTACTCTTACGGAATTACAGTTCAGGTACATTATTAAGTACAAATTAACGAAACAACATTATGAGAATTTACTCACATAATGTTAGGGGGTTGAATACCCCACATAAACGTGGAGTTCTCCTAGATTGTATCAGGCACGACAAAATCGATAGTGTGTTTGTAGGAAATGCATTTTGTACATGGGAAGGTGCCAGGGTTTGGGACACAAGATTACCCAGCACAGTATCATGCAACTTATTCATCCAAAACTAGAGGAGTGTCATTGTTGTTTCACAAAAGTCTTACTTTTGAATTGTTATCTATCAAAAAAGATGTGCAAGGTAGATATTTAATCATTCACTGCCAAATTAATAATGCCATATGCACATTAGTAGGGCTATACAGTCCTAATTCTAATCAGAGACGTTTTTTACATAAATTACTGAGTGAGATACCACACTCAAACTCAACCTCCCTTATATTATGTGGAGACATGAATCATGTCCTACAACCAGGTATGGATACGACCATCTCCCCTGCGGCCCCTAGATTTAAATCTTTGTTATCTCAATGCAAAGCCATCACTAAACTTTTGTTAGACAATGACTTATTTGATATATGGCGGACAAAATACCCAAATGAGATAAATTATACTTTTCACTCTAAAGTGCATGGAACTTATTCCAGAATAGATATTATTCTGGTATCTAGAAATCTGCTCCCCTCGGTTGTACGCTGCACGATGGGAGATAATGTGTGGTCGGACCACGTTCCAGTAACCCTTACAACTCAAGACGCTTATAAACATAGAGGGGAAGCCCCATGGCGATTAAACAACACCCTATTACATGATGAGGGTTTTAAACATAAATTACAAACTGAGCTAACTGAATACTTTCGACTTAACGACCGACTGGACACCAGTCCTACCTTGGTTTGGCAGGCCCACAAAGCAGTTGTTAGGGGACAACTTATTAGTAGAGCGGCCTACCTCCGGCGCATTTCCCAGCAACACCACCTTACATTATTAACCAAATTAAGGGACCTTAAACTGGCTCAATTCTTACATCCTAAAACGAACCTTACTACGGAAATTGAACTTGTTACCAAACAACTGAATGACCTTCTACTTCAGCACACAGCACGCATGATGCAAACACTTAAAATGAAAACCTACACACAGGGAAATAAAGACGGGAAAAAATTAGCATCACTATTGAGACACCAATTAATACAATCAAAGATCCCATATCTACTCACTAAGAGGGGTGAGAAAATATATAACCCATTAGATATTAACGCAGAAACTGCAGTTTATTACCAAACTCTTTATAATTTAAAAGATGATCCGCTAACACACCAACCTTCACAATTAGAAATTGACAAATTTCTAAGGCAGATTCACTTAAATAAACTAACACAAGCTCAGAAAGACATTTTAAGTGAACCTATCACGCTGACGGAGTTACAACAAACAATACGCACACTTCCCTCGGGGAAATCACCGGGCCCGGATGGCTTTACAAGTGAGTATTACAAAGGGTGCTTCGAGGCCCTAGGACCTCACCTGGTGGACACATTGAATCACATAATACATATGGGAGAGATGCCAGATGAGATGCTCTTGGCACACATTGTTACCTTACCCAAACCCGGGAAACCACCTAACCAACCTAAAAATGTACGATCCATTTCGCTGTTAAACACGGACACAAAAATTTTGGCCAAAATTTATGCGAATAGAGTGGCCACCCTCCTTATACATCCAGACCAAGTAGGATTTGTGAGGTGACGACAGGGGGCAGATGGCACTAGAAAATTACACAATCTCCTTTATAATCGGGGGCCCTCCGGCGAACCCAGAGTCTTTATGTCCCTGGAAGGCTTTCGATAGATTAAATTGGAAATTCTTACGGAATGTACTGCAAAAGTTTGATTTTCCACAATCCTTTCTGTCCCTGATCTCGGCAATGTACTCCAGTCCGTCGGCGCAAATTGCAAATGGAGGATTTGTCTCTAACCCCTTCAACATTACAAATGGCACACGGCAAGGTTGCCCACTCTCCCCAGCTCTTTACATACTTGCATTAGAACCATTGGCTCATGCTATAAGAGGTAATAAATGAATCCGAGGAGTGGCAATCAAACGTAAATTCTATAAACTAACCAAGTTTGCGGATGACGTTATGCTATCCTTATCTAATCCATCCATCTTTATTCTAGCGCTCCAGTCCCTTTTACAACAATATGGTCGATGCTCTTATTACAAAGTAAATACAAAGTAAATACCTTAAAGACACAAGTCATGTGCCTTGATACATCTATATCAGTATACAACAGCTTAAAACAAGCACATGACTATGAATGGCGCCAAGACAGTCTTACTTTTTTAGGCATAAAATTTACAAAGTGAGAAGGTTATTTATATAAAGAAAACTACATTAATACGCTCACATCAATAAAGCAAAAATTGCTGACCTGGAATGGGAAATATTTATCCTGGATGGGTAGGATAGCAGCTGTTAAAATGATAATTCTCCTGCAGTTGCAATACTTATTTCAAGGTGCAAAACATTATTAACGCCTTTGTTTGGAACAATAAGAAACCCCGAACGGCTGCCAAAACCATGTATCTAGCATATAGAAACGGGGGAATGGGACTACCGCATATAATTACATACTACAAATCGGCTATTATAGCCTCATTGATCACTGAACTACACCAATTTAACCATGTTTCTCCTTGGGTAGCTTTAGAAGCAGAACGTACAGAGGGACAGTTTATAACGCATTTAGCTTGGATACCTCCATAAATTAGGAAAAAATATAAAGACATGTCACCACTTACAGCTACATCCTTGCGGGAATGGGATAAATTCCATACCGAACAGGATTGAATATGACGATTTCTCCCGTTTTACTCCTAGATTCCTTCTATGGAATGATACCCTTGGTGACTCTAACTACTTGGAGAGCCAAGGGACTAACACATCTAAGACAGCTGTACAACCGGGGGGAGATGATACCCTTTGAATCACTTCACTTTACTGTGCTCACTGAAACCTCAGTGCCTGTTGCCACCAAGCCTTGCAGGTCTTTTGTAGTCACTCAAGGGCTTTTCACAACTTGCCTTCTTAGAAACCTAGTTGCCGCCATTGATAGCTTCCTTTTTCTGCTCGTCCAGGTAGTGTAACCATTGTTCATTTAACTTTGAACTCTCAAACTATGCTTCCAATGGTGTCTCTAGGAACATTCAGTAGCCTTTGCTAGCCAGTTCAGGTATTTCAAATGTTTCAGCTTGAGCACACCTGGTGCAACTAATGAAGCCCTTGATTAGTTGTGAAACATATTAATTTACCCGGAGATATGTTCAGGTGGAAACCAAATTAACGTTTTTATTACGAGCTGCACAGAGAAAGTAATCAGACCAGACAGTTTTTGATTCAAAGATTACTTCCCTATTTTATTGTGTAAGCTTACAGATTATATACTACTTTGTAAAGACAGGTTTGTGACTTTCGCGCCAAAAACCGAATGGGTGAAGTCACACTATACCATAAAAGGAAATTACAGAACTAGACATATTTCAATGGTTATATATATAAAAACATTAGGACATCGGGGGGGGGAGGGGGGGGGGACATTAGGACATCATGATTTTATGCTTATTTGTGCTTATTTGTCAGACACTCAAAACTAGACTAAAAGTTAAAAGCAGAACATAAGAAGTAAAGACTGGACATCTGGTCATCTTAAAAGCTTGAGCCTGGGGTCAAGGTATGTTCCATCAATACACGAAAAAGAAAAGAAAAATGCTCAAGTCGCTGGAAGTACTCCTGCAATTCGAGTTTGGTCTGGAATTTGAATAGTAAAAACAGCCACCAACAACCTTCTGAAATAGGATAGTTATCATCCCCCAGCGTTAAAGAAGGGAATACCAATTGGGCAATACCTAAGATTGAGAAGGAACTGTTCTACTATAGAAGAGTTCAAGCATAAAGCACAAACTCTTAGGACTCAATTTAAAATTAAAGGTTATCTGAACAAGTGCCTTAAAAGAGCGTATCAAAGGGCCCTCCTGACTGAAAGAAGTGAACTACTTTCAGATAATTCCCTTCCAAAGAGTCAAAACATTATAAGATGAATTGGAACTTTCGATTCAGGTTGGACTCTGGTTAAACAAAGCTTGGAGAGATACTGTCCACTTCTGTATAAGGATCATGACCTGAAGGAGGGTTTGACTCCTTTTGTGTCATTGACTGCCAGAAGAGGACGAAATCTCAAAGATATTTTAGTACCAAGCCATCTCTCTTCACCAGTTTCCTCTCCTACATGGCTGAAAACTCCAGTAACAGGCACTTTTCAATGTGGCCGTTGCAAGGCTTGCAAATAGATTAATAAACAATCCAAAACATTTTCTAATTCAGCCAATACGGAGATACATACAGCGAATATTTTCTTCAACTGTAAGACAGCTGGACTAATATATCTTTTGACATGTAGCTGTGATCTAAAATATGTGGGCAAGACTTTCAGACCTTTTAAAATACGTATCTTAGAACATGTTAACTCAGTAAACCCTTCCAGACATATCGATACCCCAATCTCACGACATCTAAAAATGAAACATGGTGGTTCAGCACAAGGCCTACGTTTCAGTGGAATTGAGAAAATTAAGCTGGGTCCTAGAAAAGGCAACATAGACAAAATACTATTGGATCTATAGACTTAAAACATTGTCCCCTTTGGGCCTCAATGAGGGGTTTTCCGCCTCATATATACGCCTTTCATTTCTGATTAGATTTCTAGTGCCAGCCCTTTATATACATATGGCTTTGTTATAATATCTTTCTAAAAAATTTGATCTGTATATAATGTAAATTTGTGTATATAGTTATATTATTTAAAAAAAAAAAAAATGTTTTTTCCTACACTTAGCTGACTGTATCCTCTACTGATTATGTTGTACCAATATCATTAGCATGTTATATATTTTTCCTCTCTGCCCATAATTCATTTTATTCTATTTACAGGCGCTCTAGGCGGGGCACATTTTAACTGGTGATCATGTATAGACTTTATGAATGGCTTTCTCATGGGGAGAGGGTTTATAGGGTATAAGTTAGCGATCCTTTAATAGGAGCTAGCTCCACACAAATATATATATAAGTGGTAACAATCATACAGTAAAGCTTTAGCCACTCTCTGTTAAATTAAACATCTATTTTAGTAATCAAACGTCGGGCCACTTTATCTATATCGTACTCTCTATAGATTGTGGACCGGTATATCAGGGCACTGATGACCTCTTAAAAGCTCACTAGGGATACAGAGAGGAGATGCATATCCACCTCACCCCTGTACAAAGAATGGTCTGTAATCACACTAGTTGAAAGTGTTTCCTTCCTAGCAGTGGTGGCAATGTATACTGGATAAACTATTTAAATAATTTGGTTTCTGGTTGATATAATACCCATAGCCCATGGACGGTTGAGCTCCACCTTTGGGCCAAAGGGATAAAAACTAATAACCAAGTAAGTGAAAAGCAGGACACACTATCAATTAATAATCTTTAACTCCTTTTTTAGCAAGGACTACTTAGGGCTATATAGAGAGTAGTTAGAGGGTTCTGAATGTTTGAATTTCGAGTCTGGATTGTGTACCAGCTTTACCATTTTATTGTTACTATATATTGGCAAACATTTGTTACCCCGGTTTAGTTTACTCTCGTATCAAAACGATTGAAATTGCTCATTAGGACTGTGACTATTCATATTCCATGGACATCTTAACTTGCTTGTTATGGATTTCGATCTCTGGTGCTAATACCGGAGGCTAGTCAACAAAACGAGCTCTCCTGGGTTTAATCTTGGACGATATAGTCCTTGGGTAATCTCTACTAATATGCATGTCAAATTATTATCAATCGTCCTGGCTTCTACTTGGTAAAGCTAGCCGGCATGCAGAAATCGTTCAATAGTAGTCCGCTTTTATTATCAAATGGCGCTTATAAAGAACAGCGCTTGGTGAATACCTGAAAGTGAACTTTAAATGATATGTCCATCAGAGTAAGGATATCACAGTATTTTATTTCCAGCAAGGATAATACTGATAAAAACCACTGGATTTTCATAATTATGTACCTTAAAGGGTTAATAGTCAGAGCTATTGATTGCCTTGCCACCCAATGTGCTCTGATTGGTACTTTTGAATTTGCATGAATACATTAAAACGCCCATTTTTTTGGGCGCGAAAATAACAGACAGATACATGCTTTTGATTGGTCCATTAACTGTCATTGTAGAGGAACCACTGGGTATATAAATAATACTTTTTAGAGACATTTCAATTCTAACCCCTGACGAAGGTGCATGCTTTAAGCACCGAAACGCGCATCAGGTTTTTTGACTCTTTCCCTTCACAATTTTCACTTTGGGCACTTTCACATCCTAAGTATGGTTCTGCACATTAGCACTGTTTGATTCTTTAACCTCTCTTTCAATTCCCAGTCCCTGTATCTATTAGT